AAAATAATTATGGTGGGGACCATGTTTTCTTGGATGGAGGTCATCCAAAGTCATTTGTTATTTGTTTCAGTATTTATATATACTGCAATAAATAACACAAATGCAAATTCTACGGGGGTGGCGACCTTCCTAGCTACTCGCTCTCCCTGTAATGACAAGTGATCATGTGAATCCAAACAGTAGAAAACTTTTCCATTTAACTATAATCATTTTGTTTCTTGTGTTTTTATGTTATGTTCATTAAATGGTACAAAGGTTACGAACCCCCTAGAGGTCAACCATATTCTATTTATGAACTGGAAATGTTCACAATATGACAGCATCAAATTAAATAAAAGTGCATCAATGAAAAGATTGCTTGACATTTCATTCATGAATTTTTGTCACCCTACACTCCTAGAATTAGAAATATCAGGAATAAAAATCACCCAAGGAGATTGGCCATTAAACTTTTTGTTTATATATTTACATTTTTTTGTGTAAAAACAAAGAATTTGTTTGCATACATGAACAAACAGGGTTGAGGGGAAGGAGTTTATATCTCTGTACATCTCAATTGCTTTTAAACTCCTAAAATGAATATTAATCTCAAATCTGACTTGTCTGCATTATTTTTAAGTTGTTGTGTCTCCATATGAGTGAAAAATTCCCGAGAAGGATTTTAACAACAAACAATCTAATTACTTAAAAACACAATATTGATTGGCATTAATAATATGCGGGGATTTTTTCAATAGTAAATCCTCTTCTCCAGAACAGCAAGGGCATTATTGTCCACCTTTTTGCGATAGGGAAGGGAGATAAAACTTTCATATTTGACATGTACATTACCTAAAACAAGATGTTTCCGAACATGCTATGACTTTTTTACCCCTTCACCATGATGATTTTGACTAATTTTCAAAAAAATGACATATGATAGGGGTTGCATATTTGACATTCCATCAACAGAGAGCAGGGGACCACAATTCTTAGAATTTGCAGGTTGGTCATTTTGATAAGGAAACATCCTCATATACTGTAAATTCACTAAATATAACGGCATGAGCAGAGCGGGCATACATGTATAGTAATAGTCATGTCCGTCTTCCACCGGTCCTTCCATCGCGCTCAAAGAAACTATTCAAGATATTTTGATCAAACTTCAGATGCTGATAGATATTGAGAAACACACATCTTCAATCTTTTTTGTCCTTGACCTGTCCTTCGACCTTAACCTCACTTTTTTAAAACTAGTATTAAGCAAAAAAGGGGACAATAATGCCCCTGCTGTTCTTGAGAAAAAGATTTATGATGGGAAAAATCTTCTGCATATTTCTTAATTCAAATCAATATTGTGTTATTTATTTCATTTGTTTGTTTGTTGTATATCATTATTTTCGTTCATTTTCACTTATATGGAGACACCACCACTTGAAAAAAATGAGGACAAGTCGGTTTTGAAGTCAACATTCATTTTCGGAGTTTTCAACGATTAAGAAGTAATGAGATATTAACTGGATCCTTCCCCTCTCCCCTTACCAGACCAGTTTTTGTACATGTATGCAAACCAATACTTTGTTTTACATTTAAAAAATGTTATCAAATACAAATGATTTAATGTGGTCAATCTTTTTGATGATTTTCATTCCTAATGGAATAAAGGAATGAGGGGCTTTTCGCCTAAAAATCATAATTCTTGACGCACATTTGACCCCCAGGGGAAAAATGAAAATTCCGAAACGCTTCTATTCCTGTTTCTACATGAGACAACCAACCATCTCCCAATAGATGAAAAGGCCACCCTATAAGATGTAGGAAGAGTTCAGGAAACCAATTGCTTTTTAGTATTTTCGAGTTTGGAAAAATTATTTTTTTTTGGTGGCGGGGGTTGTTTGTTTGGTTTGGTCAAATTGTTGAGGTAAGAATTAGAAAGAATAAATCCAGAACTAAACTTAACTGTTCGTGCGCAATAAATATACAGTTTTCTCAATGGATGGCACTGTAGCTCTCCGGTCTGTCAAAATCTTTTTTCGGACAGCTACAGTTCTGCAGCTAATTTAAGAGCAGTACCATGATCTTGGCTATTCAAATGCAATAGAAATTATTTTTAATGTTTCGTGTTGTATCTCTAACAAATCAATTCTAGCTGACTTGAATCAGAAAGCATGAAACTGTTCCTGTACTTCCCGTGAGATCTTTTAGATAACAATGTTCAACTCCCATGAGTACTTTCAGTACTTGATTTTTATTACATTTAACATTACAAAAATCATTCTTTTTTTATTCAAGTCTTCTTTCAAAATGTATTATGTTGCTACCCCAATGTAAAATTTTTATTTGTGGGAAAGGTTGAATTAGAATCATGCATTGCCGATTTATGCAACGCGGGTCAATGATATTAATACCGTAAAGATATTAATAACGTACATAATGACTGATGGTCGTCCGGAGTTTTTAATTTTACTCTGGTTGAATTAATTGTAAAAAAAAAAAATGTATACCAATGAAATAACAAACCCTATCACATTATTTTTCTTGTTGTTATTGTTTTAGCAGTTCTTTTAGTCTGGGAAAGAGTTCTACAAAGCGCTACACAAAGTTTTAGGTATGCTGGCTGCTCCGCTCTTGACGTCAAAATTCATTTTTTCGTTCTTAGCAGATTTCTCTACCGCGCTTAATTGTTTTATGATCTCCGTATATCTGATCAAATTTCTATCAAAGTTGCTCAACATGTATTTGAAATAAAGCTGAAAATTATAAACATAAACATAATTATTTTCACTCTTATCATGGGTCCACGAAGAGTTATAAAGTTGATGTTACATATTTTCAATATCTGATTTCGTGACTGCTCCGGGTACCCCTACTTTTGACGCATTTATATGTCATTGTAAAGAAAATATCTAATATTTGTAAATTTTTTTTGCTTTTATTAAGTCTTAGTGTGTGTCAAACGTACAGTGTATATGCAAATTTTCACCGAAAGACGTTCATTAGAAAGCAAAATATTCACAATGTCCGAATAATTTTCGAACAACCCTCCTACATGACACCAACAGCCATCTCCCAATAGATGATTCGGCTTCTGTGTGAAATCTAGGAGGAGTTCAGGGAACCAGGAGCTTTTTGTATTAAAAAAACATTTCGACCCCATTTGATCCCTAGAGGGAAAATAAAAATTTGGAGACTTTATTGCACATACATTTAAACTGTATGAGTTCAAGGAACCATGGACATTTTGCATATAAACTGTCATTTTTCAACCCCAATTTCACCCTGTGAGAAAATGAAAATTCCGAAACCTTACTGCACAACTTCATGACCCCATCAATCATCTGCCAAAAGATTACTAGGCTATTGTGTAAAATGTAACAGAGGTCAGAGGAAGAAAAATGTGACAGAAGGACGGATGGACGGACGGACATGAGTAACAACGTTTATTATATACCCGAATTTTCTTAGAAAGTGAGGGTATAATAAGCGACTTTTAATGAAATTCAGGATTTAAAAGATATTAAGGATTTAACATCTCTTTCAGATGTAATAAATATATCAAATAGAAATAAGAGTTTTTAAAATCGTGCAGCGTCGGATCACTGGTCGAAAAGTAATTTCTCCTGGATCAATGTCAGATACAAAATAAAAACACACACACATTTGTAAACAGGGCTGTAAATATCATCCTCCATGGATTCTAATATACAAAATACGTTAAATGAGGTTGCTGGAATTTGACGTGACATGACGTTAAACAAAGAATAATATAGAATCTTTAGATTTATTTTTGGCAGGTGACCTATCGTCTTTATCGCCTCGAAAAAAAAATAACGTAAGTGGTTTATCTATTATTTTTTTTATTCATGAATGTTATTTCTACAAAAAATATCCACCATATACACGTAAATGAGTCTCATGAAGAATGAAGAAAACACTCTACAACGAAGAATGAAATATTGATCAACAGTTATGACGTCATGAGTGTTAGATTCAATTCCATAGCGATTTTAACTCAGAAACGACAAGACTTTGTTAAAATTTTAAAAGCTTTCTGATGTATCAATTCGTTCCTCGTTCCTTGTACCTCAAACCTATCTAGTCCGATCCTCAGGTTCATGAAATTAGCAGTTAAGTAATCGAAAATACTCATAAAAATATCTCTGAATCCACAAAGTAATGTAAATTTATCCACAGAATTTCTTTAAATAAAAAACACAAAAGTTATTCATACTATATAGGGAAAATTGTCGAATCTTCAATATATATTCAGAGAAAGCGAATAGGGTATATCAGCTATGCATTTGCTAATTGCAAATTCATCAACAAATATATTTTAGGTTACAAAAAATAGGTATCCAGCCATTCAGAGAAATTGTCATCATTTTTAGACGTATTTTGTATTCTTCTGTTTCCTTCATTTATTGTATAATACATAGTGTAAAATGCTTTGGCTCTCATTGCAAGACATCACAAATCACTTCTAATTTCATATCATGCCAATAAGCTTTAGTATCTAAGGCTAGATAAAAGAAAATCTTATTTTTTTAATCTGTAATTATTTTTTTCCTTTAATGGGGGTACAAATGTCAACTTTTTATAAGACCTTTCCTAAGACTTCTATAAACCTTGAATTATATAAAGATGAATAAAATGAAAATTGTTGCACGAAAATTTTTCATTTTCAAGCCTCATTTTGATGCTTTTTGAATTAAATATTAATTTTTGGAGTTATCCTTCCTGGCTGAGGATAGGATATCCTTTAATAAAGTCAAACCGGTTTAGGTAATTATGACGTCATTTCGTATGTGTAAGTAGAATATTTTGTTATATCCTTAACATACACACACACAGTACATATTTTAGATATCTTTCATAAATATTTGGAACGTAAAAGGAATGTGGTTCCAATTGTCATTAGACGAATTGCCTACAGGAGATCTATAAGTCTACAAGTATAGTTCTTTAATAACCCTAACCCTAACCCTGAAAAATTCAATAATTGCCAAAACTATTTTTTTCAGCACTTTCAGAAGAGGAATTTCTCTTAAAAGGTATTTCATATTTACAATGTATAATATAATAAGATGCATTTACTATTCACTAAAAATTTGGTTTGTTAGTTTTAAATGTAACTCACTTGTAGGTGAACTAAGATTCGAAGACAAATCACCAAGCTCACAGACAGTACAACTCGGAGAAAAAGTCTGTATGAGAAGTACCGTGGCAGTAGTAGAAAATGCAATGACGATCATCCCCGAAGATATACATTTTAAGTGGACATTTGCTAGCTCCGAGGGGGAGGAATACAAGGACATACAAGTATCCGATGACAGACGTGTAACTTGTAGCACAAAACCACCAAACCCTACGTTAATAATTAGAAGAGCTAATAAAGATGATAAGGGCTATTACAAACTTACTGCTATGGACAAAAGTAAAAAAAATAAAAGAGACCTTATTTTTTATTTGGATGTCTGGGGATGTAAGTTCTTAATTTCTCTACTCATTATTATTTTATATGTAAAGGGACAAACATTGAAGCATGCACGTTTCTTTACACTAAACAAGTAAATCAACATTAAAAATACAGCAATTAAGCAAGCAGGAATCCCTCAGTGTTCATCGCTTATTATCAACGATACAGTCCTAAAGATTATATACATAAACGTAAAAATCCCCCCAATGCTTTTCCCTATATATTCTACCTGTATTAAACGACCACCTGTCTTACGCGACCAACGACCGTGATTTTCCTGACCAATTTTAATAATTTCAAGCAATTTTACCTGAATTTAACGACTACACAATTTCCGATTCCTACTTTCGATTTCGGTCGAGCATGCTTCGATTTTGGTTCAAAACAACTACAGACACGCTTTTATTTCATTTAATAATTATATAATGCGAGTTTTACTTATAAAACAACATTTAAAAATGAATATTTTTACTTACGCTTTGATATTTATTGAATAAACATTAAAATCTAAAACATAAACATCACGTTTTTTTCTGTGCAGTAATCGAGCGCCGTTTTGAAAATAGACGTTCGAGATCGATCCCGATGTCATTTTATGCCAGCTATAAAACCTGCCTGTTTAACTTTAATTAACAAGTAACTAAATCATAGATGTTTATTTAAGTGCATTTTGTCACTAATTGGGTATGTAAACACACGCTAGCTAGCACCCACACCATGTGATAATTGAAGTGATTTAAATACCTGGTCACAAACAGGCAATTAGACAAGGTAGTTCAGTAATGGACAAAAATTGATTAGGTTAGATAAATATTTCAGTTATAAATATAATTTAATTTGATACCAAGTGCATAACAAAAATCATGATACAGTTTTTATTCTTAATAATATGCAAAACATACGAAGTTATATATAGGCTATCATGTAAAAAAAAAAATGTCTGTGAAAAAATATTGATATTTTCAAATGTTCACAATGTTTCTAAATATTCAAATTCTTAAGGATTCTTTTCAGTACATGTACCTATTAAAACGTGGAAATAAACATAAGGTGTTATGAAATACATTCAACATACACATCTGATATTTTCAGCATGGTATATTTGAACACTGCGGAAAATAAGCAACCTGTATTAAGAGACCATCTGTCATATGTGACTTTTTTTCGTTTCTCCGTTGGAAGGGCTCTTAATACAGGTTTGACTGTATATCATATTAATTCTATATTTTGGAATGACACTAGTTCAAATCATTTTACATGATATACATTGGAGGTTTCAAATAGTATTTAAGCTCAAAGTTCATTAAAATAATGAAATCAGGAGCAGACTCGGGCCCTTGAAATATCAGAGATGGGATCAGTGCCATGGATAAGTAACCATACCCTGCCAAAAGGTCACACCCCCCGTGTGATCCCACTCTGTTCTTATAGATAAACTTGAAGAAATTGTTGATCTTCGAAATTAAATAAGACAATCTGTATCCAAGCTCAAACTTCTACTGAATTGAGACAAAACTAAATGAGAGCAGAGAAAATGAAGTCGATACGAACAGGTGCCATGGAGGCGTAAACATCCCTATAAACCGGTCACAACCTCCACCTTCTCATTTTTATGATCGGAAAAACGGAACTATCTATAGACAATTTGGTGAATAGAAAATGGCCTCAAATCTATGGACAATTGTGAAAGAAAACAATTACATAAGAATTTGTATGATGAAGTGCATGGAGATAACGAACAATATTCAATATCAAAAATCCTTTAAACAATATAAAATAGGAGCAGAGCGAACACAGACCTCCGAAACATCAGAGGTGGGATCAGGTGCCATGGATGAGTGAGCATCCCCTGCCGACCGATCAAACCCACTTTGTGCTCCTTGTCATGATCTGGAAATAACAGGAAAATCCGTTGTCAATTCAGTGTTTAAATAATGGACTAACGATTGGTATGAAAAACGTCAGTCAGCATTTGACTCAATGATAAATTTTATTTACTGAAATCGTATGTAGTGCATGCTTTTGCATATCGAATTACGTGTAATTAAGAGATATGAACCCCATATCCAAAAAAGCTAAGTCGGTAGAGCGCTCGCTTCGTAATCGGAAGGTCGTGTGTTCGAAAACAGCTGCGACTGACTTAAGTCGATAAAAAATTGAAAGCAACTCTTCCTATGCGAAGTGCATAGAAGATACATGTAGTTGCAGGTCCTTTCGATGGGACCTTATAATCCGAGGTCCCGTATCACGGTAGGCGATGGCGTGATAAAGAACTCTCACTGATCATTATCCCTGAGTGCCGAGTAAAGCTCTACCTTTGAAGCCCTTCAAAAGTGTAAGGTGTTGTATGAATTACGAAATCATCGAGTCAACATAAGAAGGGTTATGAATATTTTTAGCTGATAAACGTCGTCGATCTATTTAAATGTGAAATGGAAGACGTTAGCAAGAGACCTAATGCATAAGTTTTTGCAATAAATTCTACTTAATATCAAATTATATACAAAAGTACACCTGCCTATAATACCTGCAATGAGCAGCCGTTGAAATTTCAACTGTTTGTCTGTAAACCTCTAAATACTACATAGATATTGTCAATCACAACTCAAGCATGTTTATCTCATTCCAAACAGTTTATTTACATTTGTGTAATACTGTAAACCAACTTTTATTCGCGTGCGAGAAATGTTCGCGAAGTTCGCGAGAGCCTCGTTATCGCGAATATTTCTCGCCGCGAACCAGTTCTTAAAGTCTATATGTCTATTAACAAGAGAACCTAAATAGGCTTGATCGCGAAAAATAATCGTCGCAAACTAGTTTACCTCCGGTAAATCGCGAAATAAAGTCGTCGCGAATAAAAGTTGGTTTACAGTATTGATTCCTCTAGATGTAGAAAATTTAATAAATGTTAAAAGAATATTTTTAAACTCAAAATTAGCATACAAATCATCGGTTAATTTTTGTCTTATATTTCCATTATTATTGCCTAAATTAGAAATTATAATAAAAAAAAATTCCTAATACATTCTAAATTTTTCTGATTTTCAGTTAAACCCACGGTTGACATTATTGGAGGACATTCCGTCACGAAAGGTGAAACAGCATCATTTGTAGTTCTGCAATCCTCCTATCCTGAGGCGTTTCGAATTAGATGGTATAAAGTGGAAAGGGAAGATCATACGGATTTTATAAAGGATGAAACCTGCATTGATATAACTTCAGAGAAATACAAAGGGAGTACATTTGACTTTTTGGTTATTAACGATGTTAATAACAAAGATGGGGGATGCTACAGAGTCAAAGTGAAAAATCTAATCGGTGAAAAGAGCGCATTTGTTCATCTGTTTGTCAGGGATGGTAAGTATTCTTATTAAACAAACAAGTTTATTATTTGCAATAAATAATGGATTCTTCGAATAATATAATGAAAATTATATCTAACCATTTCTTAATCTATTTTAATTATATTTCAAAGCCTTTATAACTACTTTAAAAAATTGTAAAACTCAAAGACTGTATATTTTTTGGCGAAATAAGCTGTTTTATCTTACCCCATCGATATCACTGCTGGACGAAAAAAGTGCTGAGAAAGGGCCAAATGTTAATGATAATGATTGATAAAACGTCTGATTTTCATTTCTTGAACTCTTTAAATTAGAGGTGCAGTTGGTCGTATGACTGGTACAGCATTACGTTGCAGATAATACCAACATGTCAACCACAATCAAGTTGTAAATGGTTAAAGTATTTGTCATTTTAATTGAATATAGAAGGACCAATAGATTTATGTAAAATAGTCTAAACTCTAAATTCATCATAAAAAGAAAATAAATCGACTTTTCTAAGGCACATGCATTGTATTAAATGTACCTTGCGATATAAATAGATACTTAAGATCAACAACAGGTATATGTTGATTTTGCTGTTGTTTCTACTCTTGATGCATATAAAGGCCACAACAATGAAATGTTTTATCTCAGAACAGTGCAATGAAAAATCAGAGAAAAAAAGGAATGCACAATTTTTCAATATGGGGTTTATTGGCACAGCTGTATATACAAATAAAATGGATGTACCCCCAACGTGTCAAAGGGCTGGCCCCAACAAACAATTAAAGCAACATTTAAGGCATATTTGACATCAAACGTTCACAATTTTGCTGTAAGTGCGTTATTGAAAAAAAACCTCTCTCAAGCTACGAAGACATATTTGCACATTTATGGTTCAAATTTCAAAACAATATTTAAGAGTGCCTGACCTGGGGGAGTTGAAGAGGTCAAGGACTTGTACATTTTCACAATTCACTCGTACACTATCAACACAATCAAAAGATGCATATTTCACAGATAGAGTTTCCCCCTCTTTTTTAATTTGTTTCAGAATTTTTCTGTAAACACTCTTGTACAATGTTACAGAGTTCTCCATGAGCTGTTTAACTGTATTGGTCCTGATACAATAAAATTTTCTACGACACAGTAACGATTCAAATGTTATGCGTACGACACAGTAAAATTTTGCCGACACAGTAAAATCTGTGATAATCAGTAATCGAAACTTATAATTCTTTCTCTATCTGAAACATAATAAATCAAACAAATCTACCGTTTTTCAGTTCTAAAAGGTATCTAGAGCACTAATTAGAGCTTCGCCTTGCATAATCAATTATTTCTTAGACCCTCGCTGGACCTTACGCATGAAGAGACAAAGACAAATAAGTGGTTTTCACACTTCCATGTTACAGTTAATTGGTAGTTGAAATAAAAATACATCGAAGTATTTTTTTTATGTTTTAAAATGTCTTTTCTGCAGAGCCACAGCTCTGAAATTGTGTTGGCACTGTAAATCAAACATGCAGTAACACCGTACCGAAATCATTTACTTAAATTTTCAAGGAACTCGTTTAAGTATTTTACTATTCTGAAGTTTCTTTTTTGTATTTCGGTAATTTGATATAAAAAAAAATGACAAAAAATCACGGTAAAATTACTTTCAAAAAAGGTAAGTAGTTCGACTGTATTGACCACAATTTCCTCGGCTTTTCACAACATGTGCTTTTACTTTTGTCAATATGTACGACCAAACCATTTATTATGCAATGAATTAGTGATTTTTTTTAAGTTTGTGCATGTATTCTTTGGTAATTATAATGAATTGTGATTCAGTTGTGAATTTGATTGCGGAAATACCGCGAATATTTAGTGTTTCGCGTAAAATCTGAAACACAGTAAAATTTCAAACGATGGAGAACCCTGAAAAATACTTGTTTTACATTTAAGAAAACTTCTGGATACATCAAGTAACACTTAGAATTGTTATCCTTAAAACTAAAATTTACAAGAGCTCCTAAATGCATTTAATATTTTTATTTTCGCGATTCTGCATTGCTACATTTCAATTTATTATCAATAAGAAATTTGGAAGAGTTGGTTTTGTTTTCTTTACTCGCTGCATAAGGAACAACTTGTTTAAAAAGGAGTCACCGCTGTTTTCATGTAAGCCCTTAAAAGGAAGGCATATCAATGCAGGTCCATTTTCACACTTGGATTGCATATTCTTATAGGAACTCCACCAGGTTGATCTTAACCCATCTTGTGTTAATCAAATGCGGATACTTTCAAAATTCCAAGGAACTTTTGGACAATTTGAAATCACACTATTTTACAAAAATTAACAGCATAAAAACTTTTCATTTTAATACACAACCATTCCCCACGATAAATTAAAATCCAGGCTTTTCGATATCATTGACAGCTGCTGGTTCAAAATAATGGAACTTGAAAATTTACTAACCTTATCATTGCTCATCTGCAAAGCTATTTTGTAAAAGAATATTCTGATTGTGCACACAAGTACTCTGAAGTTGACATCAAAAAGATGCTTGAGTTTCTGATTGACGATATCTATGTCGTTTTTGGAAACCATGTCTTCCAACAATCTATTGGAATTCCAGTGGGTATCAATTTCACCGCGTTATGAGCAGACTTATTTTTGTATTCATATGAAGCAGAATTTGTGCAAAATTTTATGCGTGAAAAGACGAAAACACTTGTTTTGGCCTTCAACTCGACATTTATATATATCGACGACGTACTGTCATTTAACAATGGTAATTTCCATACTTATGTCGATACGATATATCCTGGTGAGCTTGAAATAAAAGATACATCAGAGTCTGACACATCTGTTTCACATTAAGATATTTAACTTGAAAAAGACCTCAATGGTCTATGATAATTGTCATGACTTTAACTTCTCTATCATTAACTTCCCTTACTTAATATGCAGCAATATACCTTCATCACCTGCATACGGAGTTTACGTATAAGAACCCAAATAGCATGCTCTACCTATGAATAATTTCTATAACAAGGAAAATGTTTGACAAACAAGTTGATGAAATGTGCAGGCTCGTTTAAAGTCATCATTTCGTAGGCTCTATGGTCGATACAATGACCTTGTCAGCAAATACAATTTAAAATTGAGTCAAATGCTGACTGACGTTTTTCATACCAATTGTTAGTCCATTATTTATACACTGAATTTACGACGGATTTTTATGTTATTTCCCGATCATGACAAGGAGCACACGGCGGGTGTGACTGGTCGGCAGAGGATGCTCACTCCTCCATGGCACCTGATCCCACCTCTGATGTTTTGGAGGTCCATGATTGTTCTGCTCTTATTCTGTATTGTTTAATGGTCTTTTGATCTAAAATACTGTTCGTTATCTCCGTTTCTTTCATTTGAAAAAAAAGTATTTGAATATAATTTTTATATAGTGTAAACTGACCAACATTTCTTTCTAATCATTTGATAGAGTCGTTGATATGTCCCAGTCTTAATCATGTATTTAATTTAAATTTTGGTTAAACTGACTTTCAAAAGACTGATTTTTTTTTTTAAATGTGTACATTGTTGATCACTATTTCTGTGTCCTTAAGAATCCCCAAACTAGTCTTAAGGTTGGTGTGATTTAAGTCAGTTATCTAAAAGAAAAGGTTATATTTAAATTGCTTGAAATGTTCTCTTTGAAAATTCATGTATACAAAAAAGGGGCAGCAGGATCAACAACTTTTTAAGAATTCTATAAACAGAATAATTCAATATCAAATTGAGGACTATTGCATCAGTATAAAACGAAAATGGACTTTATATAATATGTTGTCCATTTTTAAATGTAACTTTCACATTGAATTTAAATTATAATTACAAAATATGGCAAAGTTTCATCCTTATACTGTAAAATTACTCCTAAAATATATTATATTTATTTTTATGTGCTACGAGGGGTGATCAGAAAGTTAGCGAACTAATTGAATAACTTACATTAAAGAAACAATATTTGATTTTAGTATTGATTATAATCTAAATTAGTCCTCTCCAATTTTAATGAACATCAGCCACTCTTCTGCGCATGCGCGAATCAAGTGATATTGGCGGTCACGTGCCTCCCTCCGTAGCGTTCTGTCACAAAAGCTGTAAGATTTTTCTGAGTTTTATATTTCTTTCCATGTAAGTTAGTTTTTATAACAAGAACAGTTCATTTGTCAGAAATGTTCAAATCTCGGCAACAGATTGGATGAATGAGAATATCCTCTCGAAAAATAAGCATGCCGACCATTAAAACAAAAATATTCTGTCCCGGGAGAGACGTTTATTCAAGGTGGATAGAGAATGAGTGCTTCCTTTTTATCATATCTAATATGTTTAAAATCTAAAGTAAACGATATCTTAGGTATTTACTAATTATACTATTATTCAAATATTCAACTATTTTTCAAAGTGTAAATTGGAGGTCTTTGATAGCAAATTGCTTAATTAAAAACACATATTTTATCAAACTTGCTTTCACTAGGCAACATGACAGGTATGATTTTTAACCATCTGGCTTCCTTAACTAAAACGATCAATCCAATTAATTTAGGAAGTCATTTGTCTTAATTAAATGTGTACAAATTATTATATGCAGCGGGAAAGGACCTTCTAAGATATAATAATAAATTTTATAGTGTTTGTTGAACGAGTACGAATGAGACAACCATTTTTTCGTCACAAGTGACCTACATAGTGACGTCATTCAGTATATGCTATTTATAGAACTTGTATATGGTTATGTGTATTCCAAATTTTATTCCAATCTGAATTGTGGTTTTGTAGATGTAAAGATAGTTTGCGAACTTTTTGATCACCCCTCGTATTTAAACATGGTTGAGTATATTACATGTATATCTTGGGGGGGTTGTTTGCTTAACGTCCCTCTCGAGAATTTTTGGACTTTGGAAATGTGGAGATACCACTATTTGCCGGTCGAGAGCTGCAAATTTTGATCTATGCTCGGCACTCAGGGCCATGGGGTCAGTGTATATACTGAAGACGTACTTTTTCCCAAGGGTCATAATTCCGCGGAATATTAATTTTTGTTTAATCCGCGCGTAGAAAATTACGACTGTCACCAAATGCCTTTCATTTACATTAAATACGCTTGGAAAATCTGTGACCGTGTTAATTAATGCCACACTGAAAAAAGTACTTTTACAGTATTGTAATTAATTGGGCATTTGACAAAACAATTATACAAGTATAATTTATTAATGATGTCAAGTCAGTTAATAAGAATTGTCAACAGAACAATACTTGTTTTAATTTGTTTTTGCAAACTCGAAAAACTTAAAGCTATTGATTAAGTTGTGGTACACGGGGTAATAGAGCTTACTGTTCTTGGTGTTTGCAACTTGGTGTGATGTAAATTGCTGGTTGCCATTACGTGTGTTCAACTTGTGTTATTCTCTGACTTGTTATTGAGTATAAGGCAGTATTCACTGTTAGAAGAAAAGCGAAGTACGAAGTTGTACTGTGTAAATATATAAGAGCCACTTGACTAGATATAGTAAACTTAAGCAACTGGTTAGCGAAAAGCACCAGACTGGTGCCAACATAAAACGTGAACTGTCCACAGACACCAGGCAGGTTTCGGTTGACTTGAAAAGACAGTCAGGTGCCAGTATTATTACTGTAGACTAAATAATACAAAGCACATAGGTCAGGGCATTCTAAAACAACAGGCAGGAATCACATTATATGCATATTTTGCATCGATCATCAAAACTCGATCAGCAAAACTCGAAAATCCAAACGGACTTGCAGACCGCTCAGTTCCGACACGTTACAGTACTTTCACTCGATGCACTTACCAAAGATATTATCTATCATAAACCTTGTTGTCAAATAAAATAAGCTAAAAAAATTATTTAATAAGTAAAAATCAATAATATTATTTTATATATTTTATTTTATATATTAATATTATTTTCTCTTAAATTATACTGTCGTACAAATATTGATATCAAATAATGAGGTAATGGTTTTTTTTTCATATGAATTTATTATGAGTGTTTCTTCTGAGGAATAAATTACATTTAATGGAAAAATAAAGTATATTTTTCAGAAGAAAAAGGGAAACACAATTCATCAATCACAGACGAAGAAAAATGTAAGTTTAATGGATAGTTTTGTATGCACTGAAATTTTCTAGTTCTCTAGTACCCTTTTCAAAATTAGTGACAAAATATTAATATCAAATAAAGAGGCATGTATTGTAGATTTCAATCTTATTGAAATGCCTGTGTCTTTAAAATATATATTTACATTTTCAATCATTGACATTCTTGAAAGTGAATATAGTTTGTTACTGTAAATCACTTTTTATTCGCGAGAACTTTATTTTTGCGTAATTACGCGAGACACTGTGTTCGCGAAAATTAAATTCTCGCGTATAAAAGTATTCCTTACGATTATATAGAAGAATAACAACTATTCGTGAAAATTATGTCTCGCTTACTAAGAGCCAATGACAATCACGCGAAAATGAGGTGTCGCGAAAATTAAGTGATCAACAGTATTTACCAAAAAAAATCAATATTGACCTTGGCTTCGAATCTGTAAATAAAAATATTTTTCTGGTGAATAACAAATCATAAACATCATCAACAGAGTCCATAATTATTTTAATATACAGTCAGGATTTGGATAAAAAGGCAGAAAACATGATACTTATATATAAAAGCATCCTACAAAGGACAGATTTATCGTGACGATATTAGAGCAAGCAGATTCATTGATAACATTTTTAATACATGTAGTGTAGTTTCATATTTATCCCACACAAAGAAATATAAAATCGAATAAGTTTTTACCCTAACTGCGGATTTTCAATTATAAATTTATTATATGTGTTTAAACATGAATCTATGCATTGAATTATTTTGTTTTATGTTTTCATCAATAGGGATTTGATGTCGAATTTTACTATATAAAGAATGGATCATATGCATAAAAAAGGTTAAATCAGTTTTCAATATTTATCTTAGTTAAACCTACGAAAGACTTGGAGATGGATATTGAACTAGATAGTGAAAATATAAACCTGAAGAAAATTTCAGGAGTTTCTTCTGAAGGTAATCATATTAAAACAGTCAAAAAATATTTTTATCTAAGAAAAGTATCATTTTTTTCTATTAAAAGGTACATTTCTAGCATTAAAGGGCATATACACAGTTTCCGTTGAAAAAATTCCCTTTTTTATATTTACAAATAATCAACTAAGGTAAACAATAAAGTAAGGTCAAATAATCATGAAAAATGTGATTTTCAGTTTTTGAGATACAAGACAGGTTAAGAGCTCCAAACTTTTATTATGTAAACAAGGCCTGTGCCATGTTATTGTTTACATAGGTTAAACGAACTTATATATGTTTGTTCAGAGCAGATATTTTTCAACAAAGAAATTAACTATAAATACGATTAGACAGTTTCAAGTGATTTGCTGAATTTCGTTTTGTTGTAAATACATGTATGATATTTATATATGTAACAAAAAAAGGCATGAACCTTGTTGACATTATGAAGGATTTAAGTTCTGTATCTCCTTAAATCAACAAATGATGTTCATATCTTTGCTGATCATTAGAATATCATTAGCAAGGAAATCCAAACATTAAAATTGGTTTTAAAAATATTCAGTTGAGACTGTATCTATGTCCCTTTAATTTTTTGAAATAAAGAGTCACATTTCTTGAATGCCTTCAAATTATGAGGGTTCTTCAAAACGTCGTGGACAATGCGCAGCACAGTTAAGGTTACAGTAAGGAGGAGGGGCCTAATTTAAACGGGAAATGTTAACTATGACGTCACACAAAATATAACGTCTTCAAAATACCACACAATGAAATTATTTGCTATTTCAAACTGCTGGATAGCTGTAGACTAAATAAAAACTTACTTTTACATGCAGTTTTTTTTGTTAAATCCCACAAAACGATAAATAAACGATGCATCGATCGCAATGCACTTGTGAATGTGACGTCATCTCAGAAAAGCTTATACATAGTGAGAGGCTTACGACCTTTTGTACAATGAAAAATGTCTTTTGTTCTCAAATAAAATATTATTTGCAGTTATATAAAGGTCGTTAACTTGGATGCGATGTCTATATTTACTATTTTATTTACATACTCTCTATAAATTCTCCAGACAAGTGATACTGTCGTGTGTTTGTATACAGATTCATTGAAATAAGTAATAGAAGGATCCTAATAAATCGATTTATTGTAAGGAAATACCCTCAAGTTTTTACATATAAGCTTAAGAAGCATTAATTTATTTGAAAAGCGATGCCAACCTCATGAATTCTTGCAAATAAATCAATTACAGCTATATTTAATGTAGTTGGCCAGCAAAATATCAAACCGGTCATCCAACTCATTAAATTTAAGCAATTAGATAAGGGAATCTATATAGGTTCGAAGCACTTTTCACAAACTACATATAGTGTAAAAAAGGATTATAAATTAAACTTAGATTTTTAACTTGGTTTTGCCCGTGCAATATTGGAATTTACAGATGACCTCTAAACTGCAAGTATACTTCCTAAAATCATAACTTCGACATCACATGATGTCTAAATAAAAAAAAATAAATGTCTTCAACATTACATTTTTTTAATTTTAGTGATGTTCTAAAACGAATCGCCCATCCATATAAAGAATGCATTTTTTATCTCTAAAAAATGTTCCGTGTGCTCTGGTGACTACTTTGCCTTTATGATTATATTTATATGAAAATGTGTTACAAAATATTTTACAAATATGATATCATAAAACTGAATAAGATGAATGCTGTTATGTTTATTTTTACAGAATTATTGAGAGTATTTTTCTAAGGCATAAATGGCATGAAATGAAAAATCAAGTATATTTTTTCAGAAGAAAAAGGCAGGATTCAAATTTTAACAGTGAAAGAAGAAGAGAAAGGTAAATTCACAGTGCTTATTTTGTAATGAAAGTTTGCAGATACATAAGTTGTAGATTTATTTAGATAATTCATACATTTGTAGTCAATATTTCTTTATTATATTTCTTACAAATTAACCCTCATAGCGATATGTGGAAAAACTTAACAATTATGGACACTTTCGGTTGTGGTATTAATATTGACCGAGGCGAACCCGTGTTTACTTTATTTTTTGTGATAGCTAACCGTGATTACCATTGGAAGAGTCAATAATATCTTATCAAAATAAATCATGATTTTTTCAAATTTATATACAACCATTCCTCAAGATGAATTAAAGATCAGGTTTTTTGACATCAATGAAAGCTGCTTTTTCAATAAATATACTTACCTTGTAACTGGTCATTTACAAAATTACTTTGTTAAAAACATTCTGATTGTACAACCGAGGACTCTAAAGCTGATTTTTAAAAAACGGTTGCTGATTTACAATATCCATGTGGGTTTTAGGAGACCAAGTCTTCCAATAATCAACTAGAATTCCAATTATTGACGTACCTATATTTGTATGCACATGAAATATAATTTGTCCGAAATCTTATGCGTGAAAAGAAATAAACACTTGCTGTGTCCTTCAATATTTAGATACTTATATATAGATGACGTATTGTCAATTAAGAAATCAATTATTATTCCATTCTTATGTCGATACGATATACTGTAGATCGGCAAATATTCACGATGGTTTCATATTCGCTTTGTTTGCGATTTATTAATTTTCCGCGAAATTAAACCATCGTAAATTTTATGATTTGTTTTTAAAGCGTTTAAATGCTTATACGAAATTTTGAATTAATTTCTTGCAGCGTGAAATTGAAACCATCGCAATAGGTACTTTTTGAGATATCGTGAAATTTAAACACGTGGAATTAAAACGACTTACAGTATTCAGATGAGCTTGAAATAAAAATATCACTGAGTCTGTATTAGATCTGGACATTTTTCTAGAAAAAAGAAGTTGATGGTAATCTAAAAACAAAGCTTAATTAAAAAAGTGATTACTTTAACAATTTAATTGTCACCTACCCTTATTTTTGCAGAAATATACCCCCATCACCTGCATACGGAGTTTATATATCTCAGTTGATTCGATACGCAAGATTATGCTCTACGTATGGACACTTTCTAAAACGGATTTAGTTACTGACATATAAGTCGATGAAAGAAGAATATCTGCAGTCGAGTAAAAAGTCATTATTTCCTAAGTTTGATTGATACTATCTTTGTTGTTTTTGGAGACCAGGTCGTCCAACTATCTATTGGTGTTTCCATTAGTACCAATTGCGCCCCATTATTAGAAGACCCATTTTTGGTTTGATATGAAGCAAACTTTATGCATATTCTTATGTGTGAAAAGAAGAAAACACTTCTGTGGCCTTTTATGTTGTTTCTTTTATCTCGATCTCATAAGGATTTATCATATTGATATTAGAATGGATATTACTAGTATTAATTGGATCTGATGACCTCTTCTGTAAGTTTAAGACTTTACTGGTTTTTGTGTATACTGTTAAACTTTATAACTTTAAAACTACAGGATGTAAAGGCATAGGGGCATAGAATTAATTGAAATGTGACCCTTTTTTATCTTTAAGCAGCTTTTTTGTTTCTTTTTCCATGAAATTTTAATTTAAAGAGAATGATATTAAACAAAAATTTAATTCAAAGAAGGTGGAGAGATCTCTTATTGTTCCAGAGGAATTAGTCTCTTAGGTTTTCTTTCACTTCTGGACTATTGAATACAGAAAGAAAGATGATTTACATATTGTTCCTCAATACGCGATTGTAACATGGATCTGATCTATTTCATCCATTCTGACAAAATATTGCTCATCGCCTGGCGCAATCTTCTACAGAATCCTAATAATTATGAAATTCCGATACCAATTTAAGAACTGGGATTCCCTTTATCTAGGACATTTTAGAATAAGTGATCTAAGGTTCCCATGGAGGATTATGTTTCAGATATCTAATAAACATGCCCTGTAATTTTTTTGATTTTGTAATTCAAAAGTTCGGAAGCAATGTCGTAACATATTTGTAGGAAACACAAGGTGTATTCTTTAACTTGAAATGTGATGAAATGCAAGATTGACCCTTTTGTTTTAACGTATATTACTTATTTTAACCACTTCAATTCCTTTATTGGCATGATATTGTTAAAGCTGCATCTTTTCAGTAAAAAAGTGGAGATTTAAAAATCCTTTGATTTGCAATATCCATAATCACATCTCCGAGACTATATTATGGTGTCGAGGAATCAACAAATGGGCCTTCCTTGACCTTTTCAAGAAGACTATATAAATGTTTCAAAGAACAGAGTAAAGTTTGTTGTGATTATGACGTAGACCTTATGTTGATTTACATAAGGTAGTAATGAATGAGAAGAGGCATTGTGTATTAAAGGTTATTCTAAGACCGATGCTGTCACTATGCTCACGTCTCTGTGTATTGTTAAAAAGTTACAATGTTACAATGTGGACAGGAAATATTTAAGGAATGTTTTTGAGTTTTTTGTGAGTTTTTGGTGAGTGAATCACATAGAATTGCCACGTAGCCATATTTAATGAACCGCGCCAGCGCTTTATGAAAAATGTTTCTTTGTGCAAGTCTGTGTGATTCACACAGCAATTATTCACATTAAACTTAAGACATTCATCATATTTTCATAATACATGTTTGAAAGCACCAAAAACAAGCTCAATGTTTGAATTTCTCGTTGCCCTATATCATAATACCTTATCCCACCTCTGATGTTTCGGGGGTCCGTTTTTGCTCTTCTCTTATTTTGTATTGTTTTATGGACTTTGAGATTGAATACTGTTCGTTATCTCCATATCCTTCTTTTTCTGACGTCGCTGTAGCCTAACTGTGACGCCATGTTAACCTACGTTTCACCGTGTATATTCCTACGCAAGAGTATACACGAAAATGGTTTTCTATTAAATTTCACAGTTGGCTTGGTAGAAAAATACAGCGAATACTGTCAACACTATCGTCATTGTTATTACACCCATAGGGAAAGACTGTCCCTAGTTTTCTAGTCCAAAAGTTCTAGTTGTCTACTCAGTGATAGAATGCTTGTGTGGTGATAAATCTACTAAGTGATCCCTTAGTTTTACCAAATAAACAAGTCCTAAGAGATTCCATTCTATTCCGTAGAGAAAAGTAGAGGAATTGCAGTTGAAATTTTCCCATATTTTTGTATAGAAGCTATGTCCCGTAAGACTGGTGAAGTGTTAGTTATAAAAATTTCACAGGTTTTACAGTTTTTCACAGAACAATTTGAAACAAAGGGCATGTGGATCGGAAAAGGAATCTTCAAATATGTATGTAATAGAAACCTTTAATTTTTTTTCAATTTTTGTATGAGCTATTGGTTTTATACAGAGACTGGGAACTTGAGGAAGTAATATTAATTGACAGTAATTAATACCAATTAAGATTGTAATTGAAAGTAATGTGCAATTGGCCAAATTTTCAATTACAAATAATTGAAATTTAATTAATTACTTAACTTAAGGCTTGTTATTCACAATTACTTCTCAATTACATTCAATAACACTGATTTTTAATAAATGAAAAATAGTGAAATAGCCCCCCCCCTCCATCATAAACATTATAAACGAAAGATCTTTTGGGTCAAATATAATTTTGACAATGTTATATAACCCATTTTAACTAAATTCCTGTTTAAATATTGTCCCTTTTCATTTTCATTTTCTTAAAAAGTTTTAATCAAAATAAGCATTGTCATGCTTTCAAATAAAATTGATATTTTAATTTTTAAATAAATAAATCAATATGAAAATAAAAATAAGTATTCCAATTACTTATTTTCTTTTTTATTTACTTATATCTTCTGTTATAAGTTATAAACAGGTGCTAGTTAGTGCCCTGAGGTCAAGTACATATTTCTTGATATTTGTCACAAATTTTGACTTTGTCTGTTGGTATTTTTATGCACACTCTTTGAATCTAAATTGTTGTTTGGCACAGAATAAATCAAAAACCAAAATCTTGAGATATAGCTTAAAATGCTGAAATATGGAAATATAAAGACAAAAAAGCATTGGTTGTACATTTAACATAAAAAGCATTGGATATATAAAAATGATTCCAAAATTTCTAAACATATGAAATAAGATAAAACCATGAGTAAACTTTCTTCTGGTCAGTATTTATGTATTCCTCTCTGACACAAATACCACAGTGGAAAGAACCTTCAGCGATGCAGGAAAATCTTCAAATCTAATAGATGTAGGTTTGGGGATATAGTGTTTGAAAATTGTATGAACATTTTTATAAGATTATTGAAAAAAAATGTAAAATAATCTTATATAAATGAAGGCAAATGCACATGACTATTTACTTTTATAAGTGTTCCTTGAATGTCATTTGAAATTTAATTAATTATTTTTGCAAGTAAATTGTAATTTAATTAATTTCATTCAAAATCCATGTAATAGCAATGGTAATTAGAATGAATGTTTTCGAAAAGTATTTGTAAATTAATTACTTTCCTATGCAACTGACCCCATCCCTGGTGGAAATATGACATATGTTTAATATCCTTGAAGACTAACCGAGGTGCACCGAATGATCTTGAGTTTGTGTCCTTTATAAACTCAAAGGAGTGACGCCTTTTTGTACTGGGCGACGCGCCTGCCAGTATCATTTTCTTATTTTTTGTACTTATGAATGAATAAATACCGAACGACAGGTATCCTCGCGGACAGACTGTCCACCAACAGAGATACATGTTTAGTTTTTAAAATGAAACATGGAGATATTCAAGAGTATTCAAGCCCAAAAAAATCCACAAAACTATACAAATTAGGAGCAGAGCAAACACACACCTTCAAAACGTCAAAGGTCGGGTCAGGTGCTATAGAGGAGTGAGCATCCCCTGCTGACCGGTCACACCTGCCGTGTGCTCCTTGTTATGATCGGGAAAGAACGGAAAACCAGTCGTCATATCAGTGTATAAATAATGGACTAAAAAATGCTGATATTCTTGCTTTATCGATGAATTAAATAAATTTCATAAACCATTAGTCAGAAACGAAGAAAAATTATATCCCATTATAATTCTTAATGTTTTTTTTAATGACTGATATAATTGTTGAGAACAGAAGGGGCAATTTACTTTTTACTGAATTCCGTGAAAAAATGCGTTTAAAATGAAGAAAAAAGAAAGAAGGGCATAAATTGATTTATTATGTTCTGCTTTAAAAAATTTAGGACGGAAATGAAAAAAGTGACTTAAAGACCCAATTTTTTTAACGTACGGTTACCTGAGGAGGGGGAGTGGTCGAAGTAACAGTGGTGTTATTTACCTGGAGACCCCCAATACCCAAGATGTCAAAAATCTGTGTATACGTAGCATTACACAGGAAGTCTGTGTTTGGTCATCAGGGTCAACATTACGTGTTTTGTGTCTGGTTTTGAGTGAAACTACGTAAAATAATTATTTTAATATGAAATTTATTTGTAAACTAAACGCATTTACCGTAATCAAGATACTTGTATATCATTTTAGAAAATGTATTCCTTATATAAAAGAAAAAAAAATCACGAGTAAAAGCTCAAAATCAATAAAGTCTTAATATTGACTATTAATCCACCTATCTGTCGGTCGTGCATGTGAACATGCATTTACCGCGATCGGAATATTGTTTTTTTTCCGGCCAACAATATTGTCCAAAATATTACCTATTGTTTATTCTTCGTGTTTTAACAAAATTTTATTGTTAGAAAGATTTCTTTTCAGAATCGATCACTTTTAATTATCTTCATTTGTATATATACAGACGCTAGAGGAAATTCGAGCATTAATTCCGACATCAATTTTTGTACAACATCGTGCGGATTGTAGCCAAAGTACAAAATAAAACATCTTTTAAAAACTATGCTATGCCGTTTATTAGTGCTGAAATTTTTTCGCATAACCCATTTCTAAAAAAAGTAATTTAAATTGTCTGACTTCCAATTACGGCAAATAGAGCCGGTTTCTGTGGACGCGGTCATTTTTCTATAGATAACGTGGACGATATAACACTTACAATAAGAAACAGCAATGAAGATAGAAAAGAAATATTTTATTATGTCAATGTTTAATAATCTACTTTCAATTATTTTTTGAAATAAAAATCAAACATATTGGAGTTTTCTAACCCGTGTGTATACTATGCGGGTACATAAAAGAGTTTGACGCGTGACCAGGTAATTGTTTTCAAAACATGCAAACTCAGATTATCAGGAAGTACAGGTAGCTGACCTGTCAATCAAATCAGAAGCTATTGTTTTTTTAATGATTGACAGTCGGTAAATTATTGATCTTGAATCAGGTAGATTTTGGGGGCCTTAATATAAAATTGGGTGTTTAAATTATACACATTAAAATGAAAGGCTCTGAAAGCGTCAGTTTTATATAAAGAGCGAAATCCACGAAAGAGTTCAATCAGCATTTATTTTAGGAAAATTAAAATGAAGGGAAGAAGAAAATTATATATAGAAATAAATGTGCTGACAAAGTCATTGTATCGACCACGGTACTTACGAAATGTGGACCTTAAACGAGACTGCTTATATTCTTGTCAATAATTTACCTCGCTTAAGAAATTATTCATACAGAGAGCATGCTCTTGCGTATGGAATCAACTGAGAGAGATTAACTCCGTTTGCAGGTGATGAAGGTACATTGCTGAATAATTAAGGAGAGTTGATGATAGAAAAGTTAAAGTCATCAGTTTATCATAGACTATGGTTGTTAGATTACCATAAACGTCTTTTTCAAGTAATATATCCGAATATGAAACAGATGTATCAGACTCTGTGGTTACTTTTTCTCATGCTCACCAGGATATATCGTTTCGACATAAGAATGGAAATTACCATTGTTAATTGACAATCTGTCGTCGATATATCTTAATGTCGAGTTGAAGGTCACAGCAAGCGTTTTCTTCTGTTCACGCATGATTCTGCACAGATTTTGCTTCATATAAATACAAAAATAGGTCTGCTTATAACGGGGTGCAAATGTTACCAATGAGAATTCCAAAAATTGTTGTTTTGTTTTGAACATATGTTATTGAATAAATCAAAAGTATTGGAAACAAGGTCTTTCAACTTCCGAGTTCCTCTCCTTAAATATAACTAAATGCTACTCAATTTAAATACATGCAAGATTGTTAGTCTCCAAACGTCACATAGATATTGTCGATCAGAAACTCAAGCATCTTTTTATGTAAACTTTAGAGTACTTGTGTGAACAATACGCATGTTTATAACAAACTAATTTTACAAATGACCAATGAAAAGGAAAGTTAATTTTCGAGTTCCATTTTTACTAAAAAAAAAACAGCTGTTCATGATATCAAAAAGAGTTAACTTTAATTTCTATATACAATATTCAGATATGGTAGAAGGTATATTGATTTTTTCACTAATTTTTTGCAGATCCAATAACCATTTCAAATGTGAGACGTGTGTATCATATTTCAAATGATACAAAATCAGGCATTTTTTGGATAAGTGATGGAGGACGTCTAATGAAGATAGATAAGCAGGGATATTTAATTCAAGTTGTAGATGTTGGTCAGTTTAATACAGGTTGTCATTCTGTAAACAACAAAGGAGAATTGTTGTATTTAAAAATGGAAAAGGTAATAAATTGTAATGTAAATGAAGAAAATTTTATTGACATATCGAAAACGACAGCGAGCTGTACAGGCAAGTGGGTTGCATGGTGTATTTACTGTTCCAAAATCAACGACGAAATTTTGATAGGTTTGCACAATGAAGAGGCTAAAGGAAATGTACACAGATATGACCAACATGGCAAATTTAAAGAAGAAATTGATGGAGAGAACTCATTGTGTAAACCTCTCTATATGACTGAAAACTACAATGGGGATATCATTGTATCTGATGCAGGAAAACGAGCTGTAATAGGAGTTAAAAAAGACAAAGAAATATTTCAATATAAAAGAAAATCGGCTTGGAAAATTTTCCCGACAGGTGTTTGTACTGATAAAAGTGGCTGTATTCTTGTGTGCATTTATGAAGACAATGAATCAAATATTCATCTCCTGAGTAAAAATGGAGAGTTTTTGAAAAAAATGTTGCGAAAAGAAGATTGTGCTTTCGGACCATGTGCAATTTGTATTGTTGACGACCTTTTATATCTTGGACAGGAATCATGCCAGGATATTCAGGTTTATGAAATTAATCGTGAATCAAACTAAGAGTTTTCTGTATAACAATAGTATAGAAATTCAAAGAGGCCGTAAATTTGAAAACATTCTCAATGAAGATTATATGACATATTCCGTACGATTGCGTAAATAAAATAATGATTAAGTAGTTAAATGGCAGAACAATATGATACAAAAACAGCCATATGAAACATTGAAGACATGCGCATTGAATTTTGTATATTTTCAGGTTTTGTTTTTGTACTGGTTTTCTTCGTTTCTGAACTTTAATCTTGTATAAATTAGATTGTGAGTTTCATTTGATTTTTCGAACTTTCATCGTCATTTTGGATCCATTGCAAGAATGCAAAATATGTAGATGGTTTAAAAGACAAGGAACTCCAAGAAAAAAAATAGTTATGTTAAACGTTTTTGAGGTTTTAAATCATATGTTAAAGCACATACAATTCTGACACAATGTCCATGCATTCAAAAGGATGGATCCGTTTTGAGGGTTGATGGTAAATCCAGATGACAGAACAAACCTATTACGGAGAGGATTTGACATTTGACATATGATAAATGTGTTTATGACTTCACCTTAAAAAATAGAATCAAGGATCATCAAAGCAAGAATTAGACATTGCTTTCTAAAGGCTCCTCCTGCGCTTTGATATCGTTTTGAAAAAAAAATTGTGGAATTTTAGGAATGCAAAAATAATTCTTTCTCTGTAGAAGCATCACCTTTCTCTTTTTTTAAATAAATGAACAGAATAAAAACTAGAAGCACTATAAGCAATGAGCTCACTAAATAAAAACCCCGCCTCCCATATGAATATAATGTCAGTATCCATGTTTTGCTCTGGAAAATCCAAAATATATGTTAGACCAAAAAGTAAAATAGGAGGTGCACAATGGCAATATGTAATAAAGATTCCGTGAAAGTTTCATTTAATTTCCTTCAGTGGTATGAGAGGAGTTGCGGATAAGAGATAGGTATCCCAAAGCGTAACAGACGGACGGACGGACGTCTGTCCGTCCGTCCATCTTTCTGTCTGTCTGTAACGCTTTCGTCTCCACACAATATTTCGAGAACCCTTTGAGCTTTCGGAATGAAATTTTGCATAGAAACTCCCTATGGACAAAAAAAGAAACCTATTGATTTTGAGGTCAAAAGGCCAAAGGTCAAGGTCATAAATTTGCAAATTCTGTCTATTATAACAGGGTTAGGGTTAGGGTTTGGGTTAGGGTTAGGGTTAGGGTTAGGGGTAGGGTTAGGGTTAGGGTTAGGGTTAGGGTTAGGGTTAGGGTTAGGGTTAGGGTTAGGGTTAGGGTTGGGGTTAGGGTTGGGGTTAGGGTTAGGGTTAGGGTTGGGGTTGGGGTTAGGGTTAGGGTTGGGGTTAGGGTTAGGGTTAGGGTTAGGGTTAGGGTTAGGGTTAGGGTTAGGGTTAGGGGTTAGGGTTAGGGGTTAGGGTTAGGGTTAGGGTTAGGGGTTAGGGTTAGGGTTAGGGTTAGGGTTAGGGTTAGGGGTTAGGGTTAGGGGTTAGGGTTAGGGTTAGGGGTTAGGGTTAGGGGTTAGGGTTAGGGTTAGGGGTTAGGGTTAGGGTTAGGGTTAGGGTATAGGGGGTTTTACGAAGATCGCTCCGGAGTCATCTCGTCAATGTCAATTTTTGTCACGTGATTTCAGTAGGCGTGGTTATTGTTTTTTTTATCTTAATACTTTGTGTAGCGAAGTATCAAAGTTTATTTTGTTATTTCCATCATACACTTTGGCTCAGTAGGTAGAGCAGCGGACTTCAGATTAAGGGGTGCCGAGTTCGATTCCCGATGGAATCGTTCATTTTATAGCTCTTTTTAATTTTTCTAAAGTTGAAAGTCGATGATTAATTACTGATCTATTCGAGTCAAATATTATTACATATTGAGGTTTTATACCCTTTTGTCCAAATCTTGCTTCGAAATCATTTGTTTGGATATATAGAGAAATTATTCAAATCACAAGGAAGGAAATGTTACAGTAAAAATAATAATTTAATTTCGTATAACAAGAATAATTCCCCTCCGCTCCCTAACCCCTCTTTTCTATCATACATTTTGGTACAACTCTTACTCTAAAGAATGTTTATTAGCTTATTGATTCAGCTTTGACTCTTTGTTACGGGTAGGGTAATGGGGCTTTTATTGTAACTACCTGGTAAGTTGCATCTTGTCAATGCCCCAAAAAATCACGTGATAATTGTAGGTCAAGTTTTACTGATAGATTTTTTTCATAGAGAGTTTTAAAACCTTTACGTCAGTTCTATTGTCAAAAATTGTTGAAGCTTAAATAATTATTTGTCATTTAAGCATGAAATGAAAACCAGAAGAACAAATTCATTTTGACACACGAAAATATGTGAATTTGGAGTATACATATCAAAAGAAATTGTACGTAGAAGAAACTATTTTTAAATATAAATTCTAAATTATTCTAGCAAAAACTTAATTGCTTACCTTTTAGCGTTTTCTTTCCTTTTCGTCCATATTCTGCTGCGTTCGTGACATTTTGTGTTTAGACTGTTCTATATGACGACGCTAACCCCGCAGCTAGTGTGTATTGGAAATCTTCTCTGTTTTA